TACCAGCTGAACAGTTTGCCTGCGTGTTGTTCTTGCTCTGCCATATTAAGCAAGACACTACTCCTTGCCTGCATTACTGAGCACTATTCAAAAAATAGAAATATTTTTTCTCTTGTTGGTAAGAGGCACAAAGAGATAGCATGCAGTAACTGCTCTGGGGTACTGGAGATGCAGTGCTATCCCCAGCTGCCAGCCAGGAGCTGCCTGCAAGCCCAGGTCTGTGCTTCTGTCTCTGATTTTCCCCTTAGTCCTCAGATGTGTTACGGATTTACCTTTGCAGCTCCCTGTGGTGGGAGTGCACCCTGATGGTGGCTGTCAGAGAGGAGATGGGCAAGGCTGGCTTTGCCCAAAGCCGCTGCACCTGTGGTCCTGCTCTAGGACTGCATGAGAAGTGTGGAGCAAAGGCATAGTAGTATTTAACCATGTCTGGAAGCCTCGGGGTGAGCCTGTCATGCAGCTAAATATGCACATGTGCCTGGGTGGGAGCTGTTTGTCCTCTGTCCCTTGGCTCGGAGACCCACGCAGGCCACGTGTGCTGTGAATTATGTGGGACAGACTGACCAGGAACAAGAGGTAAAATGGTGCCCTCCAAGCGTAGGCACGAGGAGTTGGTACAAGCGGATTTTTTTTTTTTACCGTGGATGATGTGTGGAGGGAGTTAGGTGTGACCTAGACTGAAATATTGATACTTGTTTTGATCTCAAGACAAAAGTAACTTTTGTATCTTTTTTTAATTGTTTTTTTCCCTACACATAGCTGGAGCATGGAGGGAGAGGAGGGAGTAAAGGGTGTTTTAGGGGGAAATACAGACCCTTCCCTTACGAGTCTGGCAGGAGCTGCCTCTACCGGAAGCTCATATCGCTTCTAATAACTTTGTTTTAATGCTTGTTAAGATGGGAAGATAGAGCTGTCTTTGCCTGTTGCCTTGCTGCGGGCCTCCCTCGCTTGGTGGCCAGCTCCCTTTGGCTGGCTCGCACGGGCCTGAGCCTCTCCGTTTGCAGCGCTCCCGCTCTCGGGGGGCTGGCGCGCTGCGAGGGGGTGAGCTCAGCTCCGAACCCCTGCTCCTTTGCACACTTTGCAAAGCCTTCCTGGTTTGTGTGTTCCTGCAAGAGCTCGGTGGAAGTGGACTGTGTGGAGATCCGCTCTCTTGGGCTTGGTGGTTTACAGAGTTTTGCATCCTTGTGCTGGAAAGGCCCTGCTGTACTCAGTGCTCTTTGGTTCGTAGTGTGGGACAGCACGAGGACCAGGGTGGTGGCTTTGCAAGAATGATCTCTTAATAACCAGCCTCCGAGGCTGGGCTGTGCGGGCAGCTGCTCATGTCGTCCAGGAGCCCTTTCTGGCTAAGATGGTGTAGGTGTGCATTGTGGTGGTGTGAGGTGACATCTATCCATGACTGCACAGGTTTGGGAGAGATAATTTGTGTAACCCTGCTCGCTGAAGTGAAATGAGGTGGTCTGTACAACTGTCCCCCGGTACAGAGCACCTGAGAAAAGCCCCAGGAGTGGCTCAAATTTATCTGTCCCCGCGGGCTGCAAAGAGTTAACAGGTCTGCCCCACTGCCACCTCCCAGGCTGGCCCAACTCCATGTGCTTTTGTCTAGGAAAGATTGACTTTCACCTTGCTCCTGTTTACTCCTAGACTTGTGTACACACAGTGCTGGGGAGGGAGATGCAGGAGCCAGCGCTGGGTCTCCACGCCAATGTTATAAACTTGATAAAGAGCTCCCTGCGCTTGGATGCCCGGGTCTCTGCAGGCCTGACCCCCTCTGCAGCTTGCTGGCAGTGACTCTTCAAAGAAGCTTTTGATGAACGCTGGTGTGTTTGATCAGAGACGAGGGCCAGCTGTAAAAGCCCGTTCCGTGTCTGAAAAACTATGTCTCTGCCCCAAAACATAATTTGGGGTTTTTTTTGAAAGGGCTTGCAAAGGCTGTGGTGAGGACATGTGGGCTGGGGCAGGCAAGCTGCCTGGGTTTGTTATTTCCCAGAATGAGCCAGCAGCTGGGGAAATTCACGCATTGGACTGAAACTTTGCTTACTGCCCCAATAAATAGCTTTGAGAAGTGTCTAGTGGTATGCTGGGGCTGTAAGTGAAGGCCCCAGGAGCACAAAATGGGGTGGGGTGGGGTGGGCTAGGGATGGAGCACAGCAGGGCTGCCAGCCTGTGCCAGGGGTGCAATTCCCGTGCCTGAACTGAGCAAACAGTCTGGCTTCATCCAGCAGTGCAGCCGGTTTCCAGCTCAAACATGGGACCTCTGTGCCCAGCTTTTCCAGGAATGACGCTCGTAGTTCACGTGCCTGACGTGCTGGTTGTTTGGCAGGGAATAAGCTCTCTTTTTTCTCCCCACTGCCAGGTAGGAAAAGCTTCTGCTCCCCAGCGCATTGGTTAATCTCCCTTGGTGCTTACTGGGGATAAAGCTGCTTAACATGGGGAAGAAATCCTGAAACCAGACTGCTGTAGAAAAGGTTTATTTCTGTACAGACCCTTCCTGGAGAGGAGCACATTAATAGCAGGGCTCGACTTCAGCTGCCGGGGCGAGGTGGGGCTGCAGAGCTGCCCCAGTCGACTCTCGCAGCGAGCCCCTGGCCCGGCTCCAGTGCAGGGATAACAGGTGGTGGAAGGCAGGCTCGGAGCAGCGCCGGTGCCCTTCTCCAGCTGGCAGTTGCAGGAGGTGTTAAGCTGAATGTGGCCAGAGACGACTTGGCAAGGGTGACCGTCGTCGTCCTGCGGCAGTCTCCTGGCTTTTCCCTCTTGGCTGCAGCCTGCCAGCAGAGCGCCCGGGCACCTTCCGTGGTGCCTCTTCACCTCGCGGCGGAGCTGTGTGACGCGTTTTTTAAGCAGTACTCTAGGGAGCCCTTTACATGGCACTTGGGAAGCACTAAGCCCTTGCTTTTAAGTCTGTGTAAGTGCCTGTATGCCCTCTCGCAGGTGTGTATGCAAGGAATGTACCTGCTCCAGACCCACCCTCCAGCACAGCACTCCAGTGTTAACTCTTCCCGGGCTGCCAGTGCCCCAGCTCCTAGCAGGAGCCTGCTCCCTAGGAGAGCATGTGTAGAAACCTGGAGGGTAAGTGCAGAGGTGCCCAGCAGCCCGCTTAACTTCCCTGGCAGTTGTAAAATGTGGCTCGCTGCCCACAGGCCCAATGTGGCCTGTCAAATGAGGCTCACTGCCCACAAGAAAAGTTTCCTGTATGGTTTGAGAAGTTCTCGTGGCTTCCAGGAACTTCCCTGTCCTTGCCCAAGAGGATGATGAAGAGTGAGTTCAGGGAACGCTCCCATGTAAGCTAATTTACACTTGTGAGTCAGTAATTTCCTTGTTGTGTCCTCTGGCTTGTAAACAGTGTCTGTCCTGATTTAAATAGGGTATTCTGATAGCCAGACCTGGTGCATTCCACAGTATGTACTAATCACCGTGGCTGGCTGCCACTGCTTTGCTCATGGCTGGGCTGATCTGATAAGGCCAGCCTGCTGTCCAGCCACTCAGTGGCCTAAACACGGGCTTTCTTGAGCCACCCTCATTAGGACATTAGCTGGCCGTGATTCATAATGAAGTACGGCATGAGCTGGCACAGGGGTGTGGCTTGGCGCAGTGCTCTTGCCACAGTTGATCTGCCCTGGCACAGCAGCCAGATTGTAAGGATCTGCAGTTGATCTGGCACAGCAGCCAGGTTGTAAGGATCTGCAGCAGATGTGCTCCCCGGCCCCGTGCCCTCGCTGGGGCAGGCGGGACCTGGGCTCTTCCTGCCCCTCAATGCAGCAGGCAGAAGCTCTCCTGGGAACAGCTACTGTGTCCTGGCGGCGGTTTCCATTGCAGGTCTGGCTTTGGCTGGGTTTCACATATCTTGAAATGAATTTGCCTTGGAGCAAGTGATCCATAACGTTAGGAATGCCTGGTTGCAGGCTGAGAGGGGATTTCTTCCCAGCTGGCCTTCCTCCCCAGCCCCCTTCCCATCACCTAGTGCCAGGCTCGGGCAGAGTGGAGACAGGGGGTCTGGGAGGAGAGCTGGCCTCAGCACTTCATGCCCTCCAGGCTGTTCCTTTGGTTTTCCTCCAGCGGAGTTGCTGGCGAAACCAAAGATACCGCAATAAGCTAACGAAAAGCACATCCAGTAGCCACTGCTCCTTATGCGAAATGAGAAACATCTTGTCCTGACCACAAGGCCTTGTCTGTGGCAAAACCGGTATGCTAACGGACAGGGAGATCTGGGCTGGAAGCAGGGCCGGGGCTGTGGGCAGAGGAAGCTGACACATGGCTTGTGGCCGATGGTTGGCCTTCGCCTGTGAGATCGGTAGCGGGTGTGATTTGTCGGCTGGAGCTCGGGGGGTGCCACCCCACTCTGACTGTGCCCACGAGGCCCTGGTCTTCACCCCTGTCAGGCTGTAGCTCGTGGTCAGCCTGTGCGTTAAGCCCTTGGATGTGCAGGACTGCAGAGTAAAAGGATGTTCTAAAAACGCTCTCCTGGGTGTAGATAAACCTTCAGAAAGGCTTCCCAGTCTTTCTGTGGGGACAGCACGAAAAAATGTTGACAGCTTAGCCCCAGGCTATGGGACCTGTCCATCTGCATTGTGCTGCTCACAGTAGGGGAAGGGCTCCCACCATGAGTCCCCCACCATGGCAATGACTTCATGGCTGTGGTAGCCTTTGGAGCTGCTGGAATCTGTGGGCTGGTGTTGAGCAACCCAAGAGCTGGTACCTGGGGTACCGTCACCGGGGCTGGCCCCCGGGGCTGTGGGGCGAGGAGAAATAGTTCTGGGGAAATTGCGTAACTGTGGTGAGGGCAGGAGGTTTGGGCTTGCGGCTCCCTGAAGGTCCAAGCGCACATGAGCTCTGGCATGTAAGTTGCCGTTGGGGCCAAACAGCTGATTCTCTGGGAGGCTTTCCTGCCATTTTGCTAATGTGTGTCTGTAACTGCAGTCGTTCGGCTGTAGGATTGAGGACTTCATTTTACAGACTTGTTTGTTTATGTGTGTTTTAAGAGGTGAGGCAGAGGAAGCTCTTCCTTCGGGCAAGTCATTATTGATAGCAAGCGCTCTTGAACGTCACACTATATTGCACTGCAATTCAGCTGAACTGACAGACCAGTTTTTAACCCTTGGGTGATAAAATAGGTTTGTTCTCGATACAAGAAGCAACGAATTGCCTTGGAGTGAGGCTTCAGTGCTATGCAAAAAACTGACCTATAGGTGCCAGGCTTTTTCTCTGGGAATAGCAAGTCCTTCCAAATCCCCCCCTTATCACAAACGGAAGGTACTGCTTTTCCAGATGCTTTTGTTACAAACTCCTGACCAAGATCCTGTTGTGTTATTTTCACCCTGTGGGTTCAAGTGAACCTCCTGAATCTGTAGCCCTCGGGGAATTTCCCTCCCAGGCTGGCTCTCACTTCTGAGAAATTCTAGGGGAATTCAGCTATTTCCAGGCTGGTGAAGATAGTGCTTTTGGGGGAGAGGAAGTTCAGCATTTAACGTTCTTCTGATGGAAGTGATGTGCTCAGCACAGGCTCTGAACTCCTGACCTTTTGTGAAATGCTTCTGAGGAGTTGCCTGGTACTTAACGCTTCTCCACCCCCGTTTACAGGTGAGAGAAACAGAGACCATGGATGCCCGATGGCTTGACTACCCTGCCTCTGGAGACTTGCCAGATGATGAAGACATCAGCGAATTTGGGCCTCACGTAACTTCTGATGGGTTAGATATAGATGAGGCGTCTGGGTCTGGAGGTAAGCAGGGAAGGGGGGAAGTGTATCTCCCTCAGCTGATGCTGTGAAATTTCTTCCAGCACCAGCCCATGAGTGATGGGCTAAGTGCACAGCCAGAGCTCCAGAGGGGAACTACAGTGTCAGGTGGAGATGAGAAAGCTGTGTGAATCGTAGTCACTCACAGATGAGAACAGTGAAAGTGGTTATACCGTGATGTTGAATCATTCGGGGAAGACAGATGGAGTCCAGCCAAGCTTGTCTTACTGCGGGTAAAAAGGCATTGCACTGGCTGGATTGCTTTCCTGTTGAACTCCAAAGAACTTCTGAGAAACTTTTTTTAAAAGATATTTAAAAAAAAAAAAATCTATTGTTTGGGGCAGTGTTAAAAGGCTTGAAGTTAGTATCTCAGCTGAGGCCAAATAAGGTAAAGGACTAAGTGATGTTGAAGTGAACTCTGTGACATGCAAAGCTCCCTGCCCAAACCAGTTTCTGTAGCTCCATGTCCCCTTTATGTGAACATTTGTTCTCTAGAAGGGAATGAACAAGTGCTGAGATCGGTGCCTGGCATGTTTGGGCAGATCTGGTAACTAGTGGGTTGGTGAACTATCCTTCAGGGATGGGTGGTGAGATCGTTGCCCTCCATTGGCACCAGCTTAGCGAGCTGTAGCAGACCTGCTTTGCAGGGCAGCTCCTGCTAATCCGCAGCAGGGGCCAATGGATCCAGCTGAAGACCCGTCCCATGCGAGAGGTGTTGGTCTGAAGATTACATCTCATGGTCTTGTGCAATCAAAGGCATTAGATGGCGAAAGTACTAGTAGATAAGAGGGAATTTGTAGTCAGCAGAGAAGGAGTCCTAGTTTGTCTGCAGTTGCTGGTATTGCCGGAAGTGTCTGAATTCTGGAAAAATGTCATGTAATGAGAGGAAAACTCAGTGTCCTCTTCTGGTTTTTTACTTACTTTTTTTCCCTCTTTGCAGACTACTTGGACTCTGAAGATGCCATTTATCTGACCACCATGGATACTCCTGTGGTAGGTAGTGCCTCTGCATGTTTTAAGCAACATGTAACTACTCTGGTCTGTCTGCAGCCTTCTGAATACCCTTCCCCCTGCAAGACGTGGCATCGGGATGAATCTACCTGCGTGAGCAGGAACAGTGTACTTGTAATGCACTGAGCAAACTTTTCTTTTCCCTGCACACCCTCCTGTTTTCAATTGTAGGGAGGCTGGGTGCTGCTTACTGATGGGTGTGGTTTGTCTGTATTCTGTAGATATCTGACAACTATATTCCTGGAGATACTGAGAGAAAGATGGAAGGTGAGAAGAAAAACACGATGGTAGACAATGAAATCATTCCAGACAAAGCTGTACCTGTCGAAGAGAACCTGTCCAACAAGATCTCCATGGCAAGCACAGCCAACAGCAGCATCTTTGAAAGAACAGAAGTCCTTACAGGTAATATTCCACCTTGTCCTGTTAAATCACTAATACTGTAAATCCAAATGGCTTCTATTGTTTCTTGTTTCTCTGGGGAGCAGTTCCCTGCTGGCGAAGGGGAGTGAGATGCCTTGCCTCTGTGACTACCTGTAGCAGGGTCACTTCTGCCTTATAGTCCTTAAACAGCGGAAGAACCTACTGCTTGCCTTGCTGGGGTAAACAGCATGGTTTTTGAGCCTGCCAGCTGGCTGTTGGCTTAAGGGCCACACGAGTCATGTGGCAGCTGCTCTGCACCCAGATACTGCCTCAACAGGAGGCATATCTAGCCATAAATCAATGACATCATAGACTTTCATATCAAATGCAGGTGTTTTCCTGCTAACCTCTGCCCAGGTCCTGCCTTTTCTGAGCCTTGCTAGGAACCAAGCAACACCTCTAAGGGATCTGAACACCTAGTCAGTTGTTCCAAGTACCTCTGTCCAGAGCAAACCCAGGTGACTGGCCTCCCTTCAGCACGTGGGGCAGATCTGTCACAAGGCACGCTTCGTCAAGCGCTTGGCCTGACGGTCTGAGTACAAACCTCGGCACATCGTGCCGACCTGCAGCCGTCCTCCCAGTCAGAGGAGCGAGTGGAAGAGTGGATTGCAAAGCCGCTCAGCCAAGAAGCTGGTTCAGTGCAATGAGTAGGTACTTCTACTCAAGGGTAAACTTCACTGAAGTCTTGTGGCTACCCTTGGTGTGAGGAGAGAGAAAATCTTGGTGGTTTTTTGTGGCTTTGTGGCCTTTGCTTGTTAGGGTGGTTTTTGGAGGGAGGTGGTGGTGATCGTGTTTCCGTTAAACAGTACCATCTCACGGAGTCCTTAGTGTGCTCCTGCAGGTAGTCAGCAAAGCATTCAAATCGGAGCTCGACTGTTTCCCTGGAGTCGGTGCTGTTTGCGGGTAGTGGTGGGGCTTCTTTCGGTGGGGTTTTTCTGTTTCTGTGCAGGGAGGATGTCTTTTTGTCAAAATTTCTTTCTTGCACTAAACTGGAAGAATAACACAAACTGGTTAATGTCGAACATGTGATTATTCTATGGTTGGATGAAAAGCAATTTCTGGCCTTTTCCAATCACATCTGCTGCGGCTGAAAGTGCCAGTGCAGCAGAGGACAGGCCCATGGGCGACACTGACTCCGGAGTTCTGGGGGCTGGCGCTCTTGAAGCAGATTTTGAGGTGTAGCTGATGGTGTGGAGTTGTCCAGGAGTTTAGACTTATTTGCTGCTCTTTTTTTTTTCTCTCCAGCTCTCATTGCAGGAGGGGCAGTGGGCCTCCTGTTTGCTGTCTTCCTGATCCTCCTCTTAGTCTACCGCATGAAGAAAAAGGATGAAGGCAGTTACGACCTTGGGAAGAAACCGATCTACAAGAAAGCCCCTACAAATGAGTTCTATGCTTAAAGCTCAGCAGCACCTTGCGCCCATCAAGGGACAGGCAGACTGTATGGAAACACTGTGCCCTCAGATGAGATGTGCTGAACAAATGCTCGTTTTGGATTGAATTTCAAAGCTACTTCGAGAAAAAACAAACCTCCTACGTGACCCTTCCCATCCCGCTCAGCTAACAAGGGCCCAATGAAATACAAAGAGTCTGAAAAAAAAACCCCTCAGAGTAATTTTTTTTTTTTCTAAAGCTAGTGTAAAAAGAATAAAGATGCCAAATTTTCTGCTAGCTTTTATAGAGGGTATATAAACACAAAACAGACTGTGTGGAAGCAAGCACCATGTGTTTGCCTCCAGTGTGCTGTGCTTCTGTAGAGGATGGCTTTTTTTTTTTATAAACCTTGTTAGTAGATGTCTTGCAGCAGGCTGTGATGTGCAGCGTTTTTGTGGAGAACTATTTATGAATCTCTTACACTACAGATAATGTTGCCTTATCAGGGAATAAAAGTCCTGTGGGGCTCAAAATCCCTGAATGCCATAAAGGGCCTGTGGGAATGTCTTCCCAGGAGACTTCTGTCTGCTCCTGTGGGCCCCAGGCGAGGGTCATTAGTCCATGGAATCAGGACAGCCAGTTTTGTTTGGCTATGACGACACCCTTTCCTTGCCTTCAGTCTCTTACCTTTTTTTAAGGGTTGCTTGTAGGATCTTTTTTGTAACAAAATTTTAAAGAAAATAGCCTAATGTTTATATAAAGTTTGTAGAAATTGTTTTGAAATAATAATAAAAAAAAATCTACTTTTTTAATTTCCTCAGATTTATTTTTTCAATCCCTTTGTGTTTCCTTTGGCCGGGCATTTCTCTAGAGATGTTGTTTTATAAGATTTGTATTCTGAACTGAAGCAGAGTTAGCTACACTGTGTTACAGGTTTCTTCTAGTTCTATAGCAGCTGTTGTAGAGGGCAAAACATATTTATGGTTTTTTTGTAACTTTTTTAGGAATTTTTTTTTTTTTTAATAGAATTATTTATAGTTTCTGGAATGGCTGCTCTTCTCATCTGGTAACTTTTGTCCCTCTTATGTAAAACACTAATATAATGAGTCTCTGTGAAAACTATTTAAGCTTTATTCTGTGGATTTTAGTTATAAATTCAAGGCAATAACTTCTAGGATTAATCTGTATGCACAATTGGGTCCATAATATGATTGAAGTAGGGAAAAGACGAGAGTATTTCTAGCCTGTAATATGTTATAATCAGTCCTGTAGAGCTATATATTATATATTTTACTGAGAAATATACAGTTAAAAGTGAAAAGGCTGGAGTTAATTCTTCAGCAGCCTTACTGCGTGTGAGAGGCTTGACCTCATTTGTACTGCTGTGTGTCTGGTGTCGTGTCCTGACCGCAGGTGGGCTGTGCTTGGGCAGTTGGTGGCAGCAGCCGGAGCCTCTGGGTTCCATCCGTGTGCCTCGGGCCCTGTCGGGGAGCGATGTGCTGGGTTTGGTTCTCTGAGTTGGAGTGGAGATCCCCAGCTGGGGTTGCTCTTTGAAGCGAGCATTGGAAGCTTGCAGTAGGGAGAAAATAACTCTTTGTTTTGGGGGCTGGCTGGGCTGCAGAGTCCCCTGCGGTGCTGTGCCGAGTACCTGCCTCTTGCAGAAGGCTGGGTTCGGTAGCTGAACGTCTGCCTCGGCGGCATCTCCCAGCTGGGAGCACTGAGCTCTCACAGATGCCTAGCTCCGAACCTCCTGCGCTGGGTCTGTCTTCAGATATCGTGTACATAGCTCCTACCTCTACCGAGAGTGAGACCAGTTTCCCAGTGCTCCTAGAGCGAAGGGTAACGTGCGTGTCCCTCTGTTTCCAGGAGGTGTTATGGAACTGCTTTGTGCAAGCTGTGTCCTCCTGCGTCTCTGAGTCTGGTGTGGCTTGGTACAAAATGTGAGTGGGGGTCCCCAAACTGAGTAGGCAGCACAAAACCAGACAGTTGCGAAGGCTGTCGAGAGATTTCATCGACTCCTGAAGCCTCCTTACTGAGGCCTGGTAGGCTCAAGGCCAAACTCGTAGAGGCGACAGAATGAAGAAGTTCAGCTTCAGCTGGTGGCAGCTGCTTGTGGGAGCTAGGCCAGCAACATGGGGAGCGCCGGGGGGCCATGTCTGAGACGTCCAGTGCGGGAGGACTTCACCCAAGGCTCCTCCTCCAGGTTGACTCACTCGCTTGGTCCCAGTACAAGTGTGTTCGGGGAAACTGCGGTGCTGGGAGACTCCGAAAGCTGCACAGAGTTCACAGTAGACTGGGAAGGAGAGGGAGGATTTCGCTGCCCATGGACAGCGCTACCAGGAAGGCAGGAGCGGTGTCTGCTGCTCTGGGTATTGAGATTCTCTTGTGTAATTGCTCTTGGGAATTTTCCACTGTTACTGATTATTTTTTTTCTCTCAAATAAACTGGTACTTTCTAAAATTGGCTTTTTTGGACTGTTTCTGATCTGAAATTACTTTTAGGAGCTGGATAACAGGGAGCTCGTGTTTGTGTAACTTCTTGGTTTCCTGGAGAGGGAGGCACGCTGGGCTCGGGCTTGGTGGTGGCCTGAAGCTCAGAGGGGCTTGGTCAGCGGCTCCCAGGCCGTCTTCAGTGTCCGACCCACAAGTGACTCCTGTAGGACCGGCGTCACGGGGTGCCTGGAGCTACTGACACTCCTCCAGGCAGGTAAAGCAGATGCAGCATGGCACGATGAGGTGAGTCCGCACCTTTGCTGGTGATCAATTTTGTGATGGCACTGGGAGACGGCAGTCCCCTTACAGCTAGAAGGGACAGATGGGGGTAGAGATGGGCTTGTGCATGTGCCCTGATGGCAGCAGCATGTTCCTGTGCCAGCAAACGGGAGCAATGGGCAGAGAGTCTTCCTCTACCAAATTTTGAGCCAATCCTGTTTAACTGATGTGGGCCTTCAAGTGGGGGTAGAGCTGTTTCAGCTTTCTTGGGATCAGCTGCTCTGGGAGCAAGTCCACAGGTGACTTCACACTGCTTTGGACTAAAGCAACTCTTAAGCAAGACCTGGAGGAAGGCGCTGCTTCTCCAATCCCCTCTGCTCTGACAGCTTGGTGCTCACGAGGGATGGGACTGATCTGTCTCCCCGGACATGTGGGAGAGGGAGGGCTGGGCGGAGAGCGGGCTGCTTGCTGGGAAAAGGGCCGAGTCTCCTAAGAGGTGTTGTATTTAAACGGATTATCGTCCCTGAGAAAATCTAATTCCCTTCTCTCTGGTGGGAACTCCTACTCCGGGTGGTTAGGATTAGCAGGGATGGCGGAAACAAGTAAGGACAGGTTCCCTGGGGGGTGAGGGAGTAGCAAACGCTTGCTCTGCTCCTTGCTGCCTGGTCCTTCACCAGTGTGCTCTCGAAGCTCCCCCGAGAACCTGCTGCTGGTACCAAGCAGAAGCCACGTGCCTGCAGGGCTGATCTTTGCTCCGTGGGAGCTGCTGTTTGTCGGTAAACTGGTGACGTATGCCTGCAGTCTTCGTGTTCTCGTTCCTCGTGTGGTTGTGGCAGGTTCTTGGACTTGCTCCTTGGCACAGTGTTATGGTTGTCTCTTTTGTTTTGTTTTATTTTTCCTCTCTGTCTCTCCTGGGCTTCATCTCTCCATTGCAAGAGTCCTGTCTACTTTCCAAAACTGCCCTCAGCGTACAAGCGCCTGTTTCTGCAAAGCAATCTGATGGGTACTCTGCAAATCCCCGGAGCGCAAGCCTGGCTGCCTGCCTGTGCTTGCAGAGCCGCGGTTCCTGGGATGGATTTGTCCCTGTTCCCTCTGTTCTGCCCTTCTGCCCTGCCCGGCCAGCCTGCCTGTATCCCGTGATACCCGACAGGAGACTCGCAGTAATGCCTCACCAATTCTTGGCCTTTGTCTCTGACCCCTGAGATGTCACTCCGTTGTTTTTCTTCCTAGTGCTGCTCTGGTTTTAAAACCAAACTCCTGATGACCTGCTTCTTGGCCTGGCTTAAGAGCAGCTGGAACCCCTGTGGGTGCTGATGTGATCGAGTGGCTGCGGGCAGCGCTGCCCTTCCCGAACGCTCCCGGGCAGGAGAGGCGCGAGGGAACGCGTGCAGGAGCTGGGAGATGATGTGTAACCTTGCTGATCCCCTTTATCCCGACCCCTCCGGAGGGGCACGGGCCCCCCACCTCTCTGGGCAGGACCCACCGTGCAGCCAGGAAGGGGACAGCCCCTGGGCGCTGAGCAGGGTGCGCAGCGGGGCTCCCCGTGGCTGCAGGCACCTTCCGCCCCACCATCGCTGGGCACAACCAACCCTTCGCTGCAGGGGTGTTCCTGTCCTTGGGGCTGAACCCCTCCAGCTCCCCCTTCTCCCTCCTCTGTCCCACCTTGCTCAGGGCCAGCTGCGGTGCGGGAGCGCTGGTGGCTTTGGGGTGCTGAGCCCATCGCACCTACCAGTGGGGTTCCTTGAGGGTTGTGTTCGGGACAGACCCCAGGAAGTGGAGGGCTGGGATGCTGGCTGCCATGTGGGGACCTTATAATTGCTTATAAATACCTGCAGGGTGGGTGTCAGGAGGATGGGGCCAGACTCTTTTCCGTGGTGCCCAGCGACAGGACAAGGGGCAATGGGCACAAACTGAAGCAGATGAAGTTCCAGCTGAACATGAGGAAGAACTTCTTCCCTCTGAGGGTGACGGAGCCCTGGCA